AGGCGATGAAACCGACTCATTCCGTGATTCAAAGTGACGAAATATCGAGCCGTGCGTTGGCTCCGTGTCGGATTTTATATAATATAACGGAAATTTGCAACAACGAAGATTTGTGAGTCATACATCTCGCCGCGGGATTTTACAGGGAAACGTCTAAAAACTGCTGACCACTATTTGGTCCGGATACAAATCGACCCGATACTTGTCACACGTGAGAACCGTGAAAGTCGCGGATAATGTGACATTATTTAATAACTACATGTTCCCGGATGTTATATCGCGGAAAGTAAGGTGAACGTTTCATAATCATTCTATATATAGAATCGAGCTTCCTTCAAACAAACGAATAATCGCATGTACGGCCCGTTCTATGTCAATTCGAGGATCTCGTCGCGTTCTGTGCCAGAATCGTGTACGAAAACCCGATCTTACGATGAGAGAAGAGGAGACATACACGTGTGTGTGTGTATGTTTGTATGTGGACGCACGTGAGCACGAGGCACAGGTGTATGCTGGCACATACGTGCGTCCGTCCGTGAATGCACACGCGGCTACAAAGTGTTACGTTTGTTGTATGGCGGTCGCGGTATGTAGGTCAGGAAGCCGGCGTTACTAACAAGTGACTCGATTCGAGCCTCGTGAGGCGACACACACCGCCAGCTTTCGTCTCACCGAATTTCCACCTTTTGCCAAATCTGGTCCCACGGCTTAATACACGCTGTGCAATCGCGCAATGATCTTCGCAACGATGACAACGCGAACACGCCTCGCTCGCTTCCGTGCGTGGACAGGTGGAATATCACGTTCATTCGACAAGATGGCTTAAATTGATTAATCGGGAATCTATCGATCGATTCAAAGTGCAATAGATGCGGCATGCTGTTACACCGGTAGTGTTAGATAATTTAACGTTACTTGAAAACATTGTTCTCGATAGGCGTGTAATACTATTAGATGCCGAGTAAGATTGAAGCGTCCGAGGACTGGATTCTACACGAAAGTATACTATTCCAATAAGGCATCTAAATTAAATCGATAATGCAATTTACTCCTTTAATAATCTAAATATTGAAAAAATATCTCCGCACATTTCGATTTTTTATCGTTAAAAAGAGCTCACTAGTTCATACGATAGCGGACTCAAGAGCCAGAGAGGTTACGAGTCCCATCAGGATAAGTATGTTTTTCAAATACGATATAAATTAAATCAATTAAATATAATTAAGAACACTTCAAGCACAATCATTGACCAATACCTTAAAAATGGAATTAAGATAATAAGAAGAGTAACAAATAGCATTTCTTTTTATTGTTTCTGTAGTTCGATTTCTCTTACGGAAACAATTGCTGTTATTAACAGACTTTTGTAGCGAAATTTTACCGATTTGCGGTGCTATACTTATAATAACAAAATAGCTGTATTAATTTATAATTATGTAACAAATAACAAATCGTTAGTATCGTGTCTCTATTTCGTAGCGGGAAGTATAATTACGGAAATATATATTCTACGGTAGATCGTGGTATGCCGAATCCGTTGTGCCTGACTCGTCCTGCGAAGAGAGAGAGAGAGAGAGAGGGAGATTTCAATGCACGGTTCGCGCGTCACTGTGCTCCAAACGCTTCTTCGCGCGCCGCATTTTCTACGTCGAGTATGCGGTCGGCATTTTGATCCTCATTTTGCGATCGGCTGAGCGATCGAGAATCCGTTCCACCGCAAAATAGAACAGAGTAAACAAGAGCTATGATAATCGAAAATCACGCATGGCTGCGTCGACACGGCGCGTCGTAAACGACCGAGTAAGCGATCCGCGCTCGGCGCAGTGAATGCGATTGCATGGCGAGCGAGCGTGATACCCGTCGCATACGCGACGCGGCTCGCATGTGCATTACATTTCTAATTGAATAACTAATCGCGACCTCTTCTCCGCCGAGTGACACGGAATGCGGCGGATGACGCGCGTCCGCACGTCCTTGCTTTCAAGAACCCGGTTACGTAGCTCCCTGCACGACGACGGCCTTCCTATTGATGTTCTTTAAAAAATAACTAAAGATAAAGCGCTTAGCTCGGGTATGGTGGCGGTAATCAGAGCGAGCTCTTCTGTAACACTCCTTGGCGATCTCGTAGATCTTTACCGATTGCGTCGCATCTATTGTATTTACCTCGTAAGTTGCATGCAGCTAAAAAACGAAACACACCGAGTTAGCTACGCAACGTTAGTTGTCAGACTTATCAGGTTGGTGACTGTCGCATGTTATAGATCTTGCAGCTTCATAATCTGAAATTCTGTCTCTCGTATAATCGGTGCTAAGCAATTGTGCAAGATATGCAACTACTAGGGTAGTCTTAGACATTTGTTCGATTCCTTCTCAGTGAAAATATTCAAAAGGCTTGTCTTGCTTCAAGTATTTAATCAGCCGAAAAATGGCTCGGCTGTAACTAAATCTTAGAAGACCGTCTCGATTGTGATTTTACGTTTCTGGAGCAATGGCTAATGCCCGAGCATGCGAAACACTTTCGCGTGGACTATTAAATTTCACGGTTGCGTTGATCAACACGCACGAGCGTGCGCTCCGCAGAGATAGAATTATGGGTTGCTCTCCTCATTGTTAGCATCCAGAAGAAACCATAATTAACTCGAACGAGGAAGCGCCGAGGGCTTAGGCGAGCCGGTTTAGGGTGACGCGGTTGGATGATCGTCTTCCTAGTTCTTCCTGCTTAAACACAATTCTTGGTTCTCTCGCCTCGAAAGAAAGAAAATTGTACGCTGCAGCTGAACAAGAAATCGAGATGAGCCGCGATATCGTCTGAGATACAGGCTTCGGCTTGTAGTGAACTTACGTCTGTAACCGAAGCGTTCACACCGTGAAGCGAATACAAGTAGGAAATACAAATGTACATGTAAAAATATGTGTATACGTAACAATGATATTCCGATAAAGTACATCCGAAAGTTGCAAATTAAGACACCTGAGATTTTTGAAAAAAGAGATGAAACATCCACACACACGGAGGAAAATCACTGGTACAGCAAATTTTATATCGTCGCAAGAAAATCTTTCGTTTATTGCATGGAGTTACTACAGCAAAACGATTTGTTAAGAGTGCACTTCGCGAATTTTATTATATCTACTGAATTTTATTGTTGTCGCAACGAATATGCAGCAGCAACGATGTGGCTTCGCCACAACAGCAAGATTCTTTTCCTCCGTAGAAATATAATTTCAAAGTTCTTTTTAAAAATAGGATTAAAAACAAAGGTTACGAGTAGAAGTGAATAATTAATATACATTTTGTATTCTGCGTGAGTTTCTTCTCGAACAATTGTCAGACATGTTTCGTCGTATCGACGTTGTCGAACCTGTTACGTTATGCATTTTGCAAGAGGTATCTCCCGTGTGATTAATTTAATTTCGCCTTGTGAAAAAGAAGTTACTTACGCACGTATACATTACCGCCACACTTGTGTTTTCCGCGAAATTACACACACATTGTTCTCAACCGCGACTACACTTCTACAAATTGCCGTCGGAGTTTCCACGAGTTTTCGCAATTGCGTACGCTCGCTGGAGAATCATATCTGTTATTTTCCTCCGCCTCGATTCTATTTCTGCGGTCCCATGTCGAGCGATGCACTCCGCTCTGTGAACCTGCAATCATGTCCCGCACGACGATTCTACACTGATAATTATCAATTATCGTGCGGAGAACGTCGTGAATTATGTAAATGCGCGAATTGTGAAATTTATACAAGCATCTCTTTTACAGCCGTCTTTGACGTAAAGCTCCGGTTATATCATCTCGAAACAAATTAGACGTTTTCGACGATTCGCTATAATAACGACACGTTACGGGGGCGCACGTAAGCATATAACGTTCTATCGTCATTTCTTTCGAAAGTACCGACACTTTCCTATGATCTCGATAGACGTGTAAAAATATGATTACGAACAATCGAGAGAGAGAGAGAGAGAGAGAGGGAAAATCTTGGAAAGATCGGATTCGCTGATTATACATCAATTACCAGCAATTGCTGCTCGCTCGGTCAGAAACCGCTAGATCTGTTAGATCGAGCACTGTTAGTCGCGTTATAAATCTAATCGCTATCAAAATTACATTTACCTCGAGAAACTCGTTTCGGTCAAAAGGCTTCAATTTATAATTTTAAAACGCGTCAACAGGCACTTTTTCACGTGTTGTTAAATAGCGCATAAATAATATTCGTTATACAAAAGTATTTGTTTCATTTGAAACAAAATCCACTTCCTAAATTACCACACACGGAGAAAATAATTCCGTTGGGGTAATTAAATTTTCCGTTCTCTGGGGACTAGACGAAAATTAGGATTGTAGAAAGATTCCTTGTAGGAGACTTCTAAATCAATCGTTTTCAGTTGTCTCAACCGGATTTTAATGCGAGTGTTCACACGTATGTTCTCAGTCGTGGTAACGGAGATATCATTTCTTGCCGCTGAGTTTCCAGTTGCTTGTCACCGAGTTTTCGTTTGGTCCCCGTTCTGTTGCAGGAGCTGAGTCTTTTTTCTGTGCACTATTAAAAGGCACAAAAATACGTAAGAAAATTAACACGATACGTAAATTAACGCGCGAAACGAGATAAATACGGACACTTGCAGATCACAAAGCGTAAGTACACTTCCCTTAAGCGTTTCGTTCGTCGCTAGCTCCTACATCCCTCCGGTTGATCTTACTTCGTCCGGATCCGGCCGGGGGTGTCATCATTCGACGGAGAAGAAGCTAATCCAATTGTCCCACGGGATTGGATTATGGTGTTCGGGCGGCTCGGTGACGCGTTGGCTCGCAGGTTGGCCTGAATACCGGAGAGGCGCGTAAGTAGAGGGGACGAACAGTCAGTCAGTCGCACAGGCCAGCCTCGTTCCTGATGGCAACCGGCACAGCGGTCGTTACCTACCGAGGAGGTGGTAGCGAGGAGCAGCAGGTGGGGGAGCAGAACACCTGGACGACTTCCTGCCAGGGAGTAAGCACCTCAGTTCTCAGGAAAGAACGTCCGACATCGGTACCTCGTGTGAGTCCCGAGTCACGAGCTCTGCCAGTGGACGCACTATCTCGTCGTCGCCGTCGTTGCCGCCACCTTAATCCCGTTCGAAGATTCTCTCACCTGGCGGGCGAGCGAATTCGCGCCTCCGCGTTCAGTGCGTTCAGCGTTCCGGTAAGAAAAGCCTCGTTCGTCCGTATCCGGAAATGTCGTTTCTTCCGAGGTGCATTCGGTGATCTCGCGAGATCGACAGTGCGCCCACTGCTGCGGACGGATTAATTGCTGACCCGAGTCGGTGTGGTAGCGGAACGGCTTCCTTCTCGGCTTGCCGCTACGACTACGTGCTGAGTGGACGTCCAAGGTCGGAGTTCACGCGGAAGGTCGCGCCCGCCAAGGAAATGGAACGCAGGATCGCGACATTTTGCTTCCTCCTCGTCGTGTCGGCCGCCAAAGGTGAGTGGATCTTTATTGGTAGTAATTTTGTTTGTGCGAATGCATGCTATGTAATGAACGATAATCATTGTATAAAACATTATTTAATTAATGATTATATATGTCAGAAGACATAATTTTGAGCGTTTGGAATAATGGGATTTTAATTTATCTGATTAATCGTTAAATAGCACACTTCTCAATGGAAACACGTATAAATTGTATATTTTGTTTAAAAGAGATTATATTCAAATATAATAAATCTTAATACAGATAAAATCTTGTTCTGAATGTGGCGGTATGTCAGCTAAATATATGTGAATTGTTACTAAAGAAAGGAATTAAAATTATAAGAGAAGAAATTAATATATAGCTAAATTGTTGGCACTTGAAACATATAAAACTATATAAAAAGAAGTTTAATAGAATATATAATATAAAATATATATTGTAAACATTAAAATAATACAATTACATACAATTTAAACTAATACGAATATTAGCTTTTTATACGGTAATGTGAAACAACTAATATTTAAAAAATCAGCATTTAAAATAATTCTTTAAATAAAGATAATGAAATTCCCCCTGTAGAATTGTCGTTTATGCGGTTGCGTGCGCTTAAAGAACAGTCACCTCTGTGTCTTGGAATTATATGTAGAAACGAACAAATTCGTATCTCACTCCTGCTTGTATTTGATGAGATAAAGCTTGATATATAGGATAGGATTGATCATTTTCATGATTGACTTTAATCACCCCTTTGTGTAACGGATCGTTATGAATTTTCCATAAAACGTAATTGGACATCTTCTTAGAAAACTTTAGCACAGCTGAAGTAAGGCATTTCGTGCAAAAGATGGATTAATCTCCCGTGGAAAATATAATGGCTCATTAACGCACGCGGGAAATTATAATAATCATTACTGCATCCATTCACTTGTCGCTTTCTAAGCGCCAAGAAATTTAATGAGTCGGCTGATTATGAGACAATACTTACAGTTCGTAACGACATTCTCTATTTTACGTGCCATTGAAGCACACCATTTTGCGGAACCGTCGGCGAAATTGCCGTTAATCAAGCACACGTGTACAATACGGAGCTTAATCGTATGTTCGTTACGAACGATGAGATTCTTCAAATTAGTACCGGCAAACTTTCGAATTCTGCTCGAGTTGCGTACAAGTTGATAGTGTTTGTCACACACGTTAATATATATCTGTACGCAGTATAAAGTTTTGTATAAATAACGGTCCACTGAAATTCTTGCGTTATTTTAACATGAGAATATGTTAAGAAATACACAAATATATGTTAAATTGTATTCACTTTATTAACACACCACTTTCTAACATGTTCACCTTGTTAAAACAAGACGACAATTTCAATGGACCGTTATTTACATAAAATTTTGTTTATTGCTTATATTTAAATATAGAATCTTTACGAGAAAGAGATACAAAGAGATTCTGAACTCAAGTTTAATCATATGGCTTCTTCTTATAACTAAACCGTTCTCACATATCGGCGTTTGAAGAGAAACACTGGTAGCAGTGCCGGCGAGTGCCGTGTAGTAGTAAATGGCAAACGAGCCGTCACACGAGTGAAGACATCATTTCTCTTCTGTGATCCGCGATAGGTATCGTAATTCAGCGTTTGGCCGAATTCGGGGTCGAGATCATCTCACGCTCGCGGCGTTATTGAACTTAACAATGAATTACCGAACGCGCTCGATTACATACGCGAGTTGCAGACGCGAGAGGCATCTGAAAATAAGCGAAGGTTACCGGCTAATTAGCGCATGATGTATGCGATGCGTGCGCTCGGTGTGCGTCTGTGCGTGTTTCGTGAGAGCGGATTCGCCGATTCTTCTCTATCAGATCTGAAATTTCACTCGCCAGCGTCGCGTGACGGTAAACTGGATCTGCATTAAACATCATCCAAATTATAATGGTGACTGGTAAAACTGGAAGAGTGTCCCCGATCCAATTAGCTCGTCGGAGAGAGAGAGAGAGAGAGAGAGAGAGAGGGAGAGACGGCTTCTACAAAGAAGCGCACTCTGAAATATCATTTAATTACTTTCTTAGCTCGCCTCGTGTCTTCGTCGCGCGCTGTATCGCGACTACATCTCTCGAGATAATCCGTCCGTAGATTTAATTTCTACCTCCGTCCGAGCGGCCGAGCGCGGTAATTCCTCAACGTCAAGCCCGCTCTAACGACGACACGGCTACACCTGTTTGACCAAGGGAGCACGTGCCCGTCATTAAACGCGTAAACGCACGTAAATGAGACGCAACTCCCGGGCGTTCTCATCTTCGCAAGGTGCACGCGCGACTTGCAGCGGCACCAGTCGACTTTCCACGACGCTTCGTTCGTTTTTCCACGCGGTGGAAAGTGGCTGGCGGAGCGGTTTTATATCGCGGCAATAACGTGTGAAAAGTTCGCGAAAGACTCATAGCCGACTATCGCTCCGACGCGGCGCTCTGTCGTGAGGAAAGTCGTTTACCTATTTACTCGGCGCATATTACGGCGAGCTCGGCGCTTAGTTTATAGAATACGAATGTGCGTGGAATCGATGAGATTTCGCTCGCGGGACTCCGCTCGCAACGGGGATATCTGCGTCGTGCAATTTTATGGATTTAACGGTACATATCGACGATTTCACGTCGGACGTTTTCGCGCCGACCGATCGGACCATCGGTGCTTTTCGTTAATCCCGGCGCTGCACCGAGAGAAATTATAGTTATTCTCGGCGCTAATCATAATTTCTTTATACTTTCAACTACAAAATTAACAGTAACAACATGCGTGCAAAGTTATTATCGCTAACACTATAATAATACTGTAAATCTTAGAAAATTCGTTTTCCCGACTATGATTTTTTTACTGCGGTGATTATAGTTACAAATATCAAATATTCTTCTCTCAGTGTGCGAATGGATGTATCTTCTGTCGGATTCAAGATATTTTACGCGGCACGAATGCATTTTTCCATCGGTATTATCTCAGATATTAGCGCATAGTTCCTACGAGCCTCTCACGTCGAGAGCGATCGATAGCTTCTTCCAGACACGCGAAGGGAAGGTTCTCGCCGTCGTTAGCCGATTTACATCTTGCTCTAATAACACGCACGAGACTCCAACTTCTTCCGCGGGTTAACGACCAAGATCGTGCATCTTCTCGTGAGGCGGTCGTAATGTTTACCCGCGTTTCTCACGTGGCGTCGTGTGCGCGTGTTCCTTTCTTTTCTTCCTTTTTTTCTTCAAACAGTTCCCTTAATTACGCGTTCGCGGCCGGCTGGCTTCTTCGACTTCGCCGTCGAGTCACATCCAGTTACTGTCCTCTCGCGCGTACGTGGACGTTTCCTGCTGAAACTACAGAGAGATCGATCGCGGCCGTTATCGTTAGATCGATCGGTGTCAGGTATCAACTGGGACGCGAGCAGGTTTCATTACTCGTTACTTCGTCGAGCCGATCATCGATGATTGATATTCACCGATTCGATATTCATATCTCATCCGTGCGAAACCCACACTAATGGAACAGGCAGGCCTCGAGTGTCGGGAAATCTGTCACGGGCTGAACGGCGATCCAACAGCGTCGCGCAATTTACAACTGACGATAAACGTGACATCGATGCTATTATTGTCCAACCTGTAGGATAACATCATCGATGCTTAATTTAGAGATACACGCGCACAATTTCCGAATGTAAAAGCGCCGCTGATTGGGAGAGCAAACTCTATTGAGTGATAGTGTATTCCCACAATGCACGATTTATTTCGTGTTAATTTCATTTTACAGATGGAATCAATATTTTACGAAATTATAAAAAATTGATCAGCACACTGCTTATATTTGCTTCGGCAGTTGCTTGTTCGTTTCTTCGATTATAAATAAACTTCTCTCGTGATGTAATAGAGACGTTTACAATTATGCGACGCTTACGTTGTAAGCGATGCCACTTAGGAAAATTAAGTAATATCAGCTTCTAACGAGCATAATGTTAATGTGCGCATTGTGCGTAATGTAACAGTGTGGACATGTAACAGTGTGGAACGATCGACAGCTGCCGTGTCAAGTGCACGCACTTACCATCTCGCGTTGTAGGTGTTCGCCGCGAGTTCGCGTACGTACGGCGCACACGTATCGCGCTTCGCGAAGACAAAAGGCCGGTGTGTTTAATTAGCCTGGCTGAGTACCCAATTTCCCACGTGAAGTAACGGGAGTACCTCGGCGAGCGAGCGGGAAAAAGAAGGCGAGTCCGGTGCACCTTTTCTCTCCTACTTATGCCCTGATTATCCACTTTTCTTGCGGCGTGGGCGAAACCCCGAACGTCGGAACCACGTGTTGTACTACATACGAGGAGAACTCGGCGAGTCGGCGGAGCCGACAATACTCGGCGCGGTAAGACGGTACAGGCGGGTGTCTCCAACGTTAGAAAATGCCGTTTGGCTGATTTAACTTTAATTTCCAAATTATTACGGCTACGAAGCGAGACCCCCGTCGCTTCTCTCATCAGCGAGGCGCGGAGTTTTATGTGCAAACAGCGCGAAATTCGAAAGTAATACAGGTAATCTGCTTAATACGTTTGTCACGGTGGTGAAATGGGATGATGGACACGATATCACGATCACTTCGTTTTAAGGATAACGGTTGAAATAGCGGTGACCTGATATTTACACCGGAATAACTTTTACCCTTTCCATGCGCGATTCCGACACGCGTTGTCTCCATTCCAGTGTCCTACATAAGCTCGTTTATTCGAGGCACGTACTACTTACCATTGTATTTTGGACGCGGTTGTATCGAGACGTCCAGCGCGGATTTTTCCGCATAATTCTACGGTAAAGCGCATGCGAATTAGTGAAAATAGAACAGCGTTGCGAAATTTATACGCAGATATCGAGCCCGTTTCAGCTGTTTCAGTTCTATCTTCATCGTATTTCTATCTAGTTGATCATTTAATATTAAACGTCTCGAACTTCTTATTAATTTATCACTTATTCACAACTTCCCG